ATAAAAAGATCCTTTTTAATCAACATAATCGTTTCGTAAAAATAATTCTCCTGGCATTTTCAAAATTCTCGCTCATATCTGGACGGTCACAATGACAAACAAATTGAAAATGAGATATTTGAAATCACTCATTAAACTGTTTTCATTCCAATTTATTGCAAAATTATTTCCGTATGCTATCAAAATTAGTTCGCATGAAGATTGGTAATCAAAGTGTCAATAAATTCCAAAATATGAAGAGCCTGGTGTAAGCAGTCATTACGTTTAATATGTGTAACTCGTAATTTATCCTTTGATAGATTTAAATTATTTCTGTAGCGCAACGGTAACATATTTTTGAGACACTTAACCGGTTAAATCCGGTTATTGTAAATTAAAGTGGCACATTTTTTATCCGTCTATTTTGTACTTATCTTCTGCGAGTTGTATGGTGGCGATATTTTTCCAAAAAGTCGCCTATAGCCAACCTGAAACACATTCTCACTCTTAACGATTCCCTATCTAAATCGTCCGTCCGAAAATATCACACGAATAGCAAAATCACAACATCGAAACAGTTTTCAAGCGTTTAAATCAGGAGCGATTTTAACCAAAACCAAACTTGAAAGTAGCTTGCGCATATTAATGTTTTCATCAATCCAAAAGCGGAGATATCAATGATTTGACAACAGGTAATAAAGGGCACAAGTTTGGCTGCACTCAAATCGGTTACAGAGGAACAGGTCAAACCGGGCGCTGATTCATCCCAAGCGTTGTACAAGTCAAAAGGACAACGGAAGTTTGAAGTTCATTGAAATATTTCCTTCTAAATTCAGATAAAACCCTTAAGTGTATATAAACAGGGGAATTCATCATCTGTAACGACCAAACTGTAAATGAAAAAAAATGGAATTAACTAAGTCCACAGTGGTCATTAGACAACGATATTTTTAACTTCCATCTTATATCTTGATAAAGACACGGTGTTGTCGAAACAATTGTCATGTCATAATATATAATTTCGTGAAAATCTGAACTTTTAGTTCTTATTTATTTTGCCATAGGTAAACCCTATCTTATAGGAATGTGAAAATACTGATACATTAAATTAATTGAATTGTCTGAAAGCTGAATCACAAAAACAAAGAATCGGTAAAATCAGGAAATTCCTTAATTTGGAATAGAAAAGTATATTTTATTTTAATTAAAAATAGAGAATATTTAATGAATTATGTTTGACTAAAAACTATAAGTCTGTATATACGTATTTTCACTTAAACTGCTTTGCATGATAAGCATTTATTTATTGCACAACTTGAATTCGAATTGCGGCATTTCAGGTGGTGGACAAGCAAATTACAAATTGGTGAAAAAACCATTATTCATACGTGCGTGGAGATAACCTGATTTCATATAAAGTTACGCGGAAAAGTGAGACGGCTTCGAAAAATGACACATATCCACCGGTAACGATCTGATAATGTAATCTGAGACGAGAGACTCACTGTCTATATTTTAAAAATTGTTTCACTGGTAAGTGCTACGTGTAGTTTTGAGAGTTGTCTGCCTATATGGTGCGATAAAATCACGCGAATACTGGGAAACGATTCGTCTGTAGCGCGTCTAGAACGTGGCTTTTCCGACTAGCGAAAAAAACGAAATTATTTATATTAAATTTGTTGCACACGTAATGCTGAGGACAAAACTTAACTTCCATAGAGCACAGTTACGGTTTAGTTAAGTTTTTTGTTATTGGTAATATTGCACAAGTACACGTGAAGAAAAAATATACACAAATGTATAACAGTGGTGTTATTATAATGTTCATATAAAAGCTTATACCAAAGAGACATAGACTTATACCACAAAGACATACTATGGATTGAAAGAGGTTTAATTAGTAATGAAGACGATGTCAATAATATAATATAAATAATAGAAAGATTCTGTTAATTTTTTCTATTCTATGGTATTTTATTCTATGTGATAGTGGTAGATTCTTGTTTATATATTTTGGTTAGTTTTAAATTTGAGAAAACTTTATTTGAGTAAGTGCAGCAACTATGGACAACTACGGTAGAGTTAGTATGTTTACAAATCCGCAATAATTTTAATGCATTTATGTATCGCATATATGGCGCCATCAGAATCAAAGAACTTATATACGAGACCCATGTTTGCTCACTTGTATGCTAACAGCTGTTTGTTTAAAAAACTGAAAATCGGAGATGCGGAAATACCACATATTTACCAAAATACTGTATAATGCAACAAGTGCGGTAAACGGCAGTGTGTAATATACGAGTGACTTAAAAAATTTGCCAAACGTGTTGCATACTAAACTTTTTCTATGATCGTTAGTTTTTCGGTACATGTTTGCAAAATGACACGGATACATTCACTGACACATCTCGACTCGACTCGAATTCATGGGACAAGAAATTCACATGGTAAAGTGATGCATTCCTCACGCTAGATTGGTGTATAATTAGGTATTTTACAGCAGGGAGTAGAAATTTTTTTTTTTAGTTTAAAATTTTTATTTTCCCTTTACCTAGTGCGTTATTATTAGATTAGCCAATATCAAAAAACTCTAAAATTAAAAACAAGTCGAACTAATTCTGGAATACGAAAAATCTGGAAAAAAAACATTAGTATCCGTTTATTTTAGTCCGAAGATGTATCGACACCGGAGACAAAGAGCGCATGCCTTTTATTTTTAACATTCAAGGTGATATTTTCAACCAATTATTTAATGTATCTCGAGTTTGGGCGGACCAGGATGTTAGAGAAAATAACTGCAAACAGTTGTTCAGTTCACAATTGCTATTTTAAAAGATACTGAAAAAATTCGATACTAGCTTGCAACTTTTTTTTTCTAAAATGAACGAACGTGACATTTAGGTTAGTCAAACGGCACAAAATAAAGTCGGATCATTGTTTAAATTTTAGATATTATCGCGGATGTAAATGTTAACAATTTCCCTTTTCACTAGGTTTGTCTAATGCTGACTGTAATTACCGAACAATGCATTTCAGTGAACTGAATATAGACAATATGGATAAAATAAAACACTACATTTATTTTTTTCAATCCTCCTTTAGATTCAGATCTAATAGTTAAGCGTAGTAGGATTTATATGCGCTAGGATTTTGACTAGATCATTTTGGTAGATAACTTTTCTATTTAAATTGTTCTTCATTTTTTCTATATAAAATAACTTTACGGAGATATAACATTTTCATGCAATAAGGATCTTCGCACTTTTCACTTTCAATTGCAACCTTTAGGCAATTAGACAATATAGGGACAAATACACTGAAATTGCCTTATGGAACTATGAAATTTTTATACAGGAATTATATTCACGCACTAACCTTTTTTTTAACATTTTGCGCTATTTTCTTCCCTTATAGCGATTAAGTTGATCAAGATGAAAACTGTCGACTTAGCGAACTGTCAGGAGCCATGTTAATTCTGAAACGTATCCACGCATGCGCACATTGCATATTCATTTCAAATATTTTTTGATGTTGACTTCAAGTGTATTATCAGGTCTCTCTATATACCTCTTTAGTAGCATCACAGTTATATCACAGGTGCTCTTGGGGTGATATATTTAGGTTTTTCGCTTAACATAATTTCTAAGTGATATTCAATTCCCAATGAGTGTCGATATTACCGATATCAATTTATTGTGTTTAGTTATTGAGTATATTCAATTCTCCCTATCAGAATTCTAGGGCGACTTAATCCTACGTGCCTTTATAGAATAAAGTTTCTTGGACCTTAGCGTTTGTCCATTTGACAGTCCTATTTGCCAGATAACTTTTCAATTTCAATTATATCCTTTTCATTAGATATATCAATGAGCAATTAGATATTATAACGCCGAAAATACTGTAAAATTATGTTATTTTACATTTATTGAAGTTGGCTTCAAAAGTGTATTATTAGCATAAGCAAGGCTTCTATATATGCCTACTTATTGCCTACACAAGTTGCCTAGAAAGTAATCTTGAGGCTGTCTAAATATACCAAGTAAGTTCGTAGATGAAGTTCGAAGAGAAGTATTCAAGTAAGTTCGTTAGATGCAGGATGAAATAAAACCTGCAATTTTGTTGTTTTTATGCCGCTTAGGGTATTTTAGTCATTCGCACAGAATAGCAATGAGCGTCAATATTACTGGTTGAGTTCTTTGCAGTTCAGTTTGTTGGTCATGTTCAGTTCTGTTAATCAGTATTTTAGGTCGATACTTTTTTTCACCGTCGGTGCCCGTTATTTTTTTCAAATTCCAGTCGAACCCAAGATCAATGTCTGACGTTATATGTAGCCCAAAAGGTTTTAACCTATATTTGTAATATTATCAGCATTCGAACTTATTTTCAAGTTAGATGCAGGAGGAAATAAAAATTAGAATTTGGTTTCTTTATGCGGTTTAGAAGGTATTTCAAAATTGATATAGTTTTATTGTGTGCAGTTCTCTCATTTTCCTGTATAGAACATGTCTTCTTTAACGTTGGCGTTATTGTAATGTTGACGTCATACACTGATTTCGCAAATTATGAACTAACCCAAAACGTTTTAAAGTCGTCCCTTAAGTTCATTTTCCATTTTTACAAATTTTTCGTTTTAGTTTTGCAAGTTGTAGGCATTTCTTTACATTTAGACTGTGTGTCGCTCGAGATAAGATAAATATAATCTCGTTTTTTCAAAGCCGCAATTAGGTAGCTTTCCATGTCGGTTTTATGCTACACTTTGGATTGCAATTTTCTTTGCCATTTAGCTTTTTGCTCAGCGGTTCGAAAATTATCTTACCTGCGCACAGAACACGAAAAGCAAATAAAACAGATCGTGTTTGTCTATGATCAGCACGTACTTACGATACCTATATAGACACGACGTTGCTTTCAACTGCATAATGACATATAATTAAAACCCATCTCACATAGAAACAAAGAAAATCATTTATCGTATTTTAGTTTTGCTCGGCGATGAACAAGTTGCAGATCACGTAGGCACGGCGATGCGACAGACCCCGAACGACGTTCGGGTCGCCGATTCGGAAGCCGGTTCCCTTAGTGGGGGACTGGAACTTAATAAATACCGGCCACAGCTGATTTCCCCAACAGTTCTGCGAACAGCGTAAAGAAAGCGAGATAGTGCGTAGGACCTTGTGGGGGAAAAAGCCGGCTGCCGGTTTTCTGCTGCTGAGTCAGATAACTTTTGTGATAATTAGGTGTTAACAGTAATCGGTTAAGATGGAAGTTCTTCCGGTGACTAATGAAACGTACAATAATGAAGAAGAAAGTAAGTTTTTCGCATTTTTTTTCGCATTTAGAAAAAAAATAACGTCGACCGAATGTGATGCAATTCGCGCGAACTTTTCAAGCGGGATTAAAAAAGAGATATATATATATATATATATATATATATATATATATATATATATATATATATATTGTCGCGGTAACGGAATAAAAAATTAATTAATTGAAAACTGATTCCTTGGAAAGCTGCACAACAACCGGTCTTTTAGATCGTTGCCGGTTGGTGCGGTGGTGACCCCGCGCAACCTTCTCTCCGTATCTCGGCTCGCCTAGCAACACCAACAAATTTCACTTTGCCGCATTTAAAAACGCTTTCCAATGGTCCGCATTTTCTATTTTAGGAACGAGATAACGTATCACTCGCGGCTTAACCCACTTTGATAAACTATTTTTAATTTTCAAAATGAAAAAATTGGCAATTTCGGTTTTCGTTTCAGCTTGGGATTACGAGTACCCAGAGTCGGAAGAGGCGGCTCTAATAGAGGCCCTCTCGAAGAGGCTAGAGGCCGAGTTGCGCACAGCAAAGAGAACGCATCTCTCAGTTGGAGAAGTCCTTCTGCCTAACGGGTTAACTCGCAGGATTGCTCAAGACATGTTCCACTTGGCGGACAGCGAGCCCTGCGGTCTGCGGGGGTGCGTCCTCTATATCCTCTTCGAGGGCAACGGGGTCAGCAGAAAGTTGACTACTATACAGTGCGACCCCACGACCCCGGCCACCTTCGAGGTTTACTTAACGCTCAAGCAGTCCACGGCCGGGTGGAATTCGTTTCTGCCGCAGTTCTTGAAGTAAGTGTATAAAAGTTCTTCATCCCTCGACTTTAACTAATTGGCCCTTTCATTGTTGCAGGAAAATAACAAGAAGCGGTGCTGTGATGATAAGTGCAGAATACGCGCTTCAAAAGAAGAAGCTGTACAGATCTTCTCTAGATTAGAGAGTCGCTTTGTCTGGAATTTGTGTACCTAGGTAGAAAAGACTGAGTTTTTCTATCACAGTGATAGGTCTATAAGTATATATATATCATACATGTCATCAACTGCAATTTTTTCTTATTTAAATCGTTTTTTATCGATCATTTTGTCTCTTGAGAAATCGTTCATGATTTTTATTATTGTGTTGTAAAGTGCATAGTTTATACAAATCAAGTGATAGTATTTGGAAAAGAAATATACATATATTTAAGATAGAGAGTAAGGAGCAATAATCGAAAGAATGCATTGTGACGACCAAAACTTTCAGCGGCTTTTTCAAAAAAAGCCCCCTGAAGTTGTGATAAGTGGTGTAATTTAATTTTTATCGAGAAAGTATTTGTTTTTTTTTTCTTTAAAAAATATTTTGTGATATTAGTTTGGTACATTGTGCCTGAAGCGGAATTAACAAATTTGAAGAGACGGTTTGATTTTTTGCGTCGCCCGAGAAATTCAGTATTAAGTTTTTTAATTCTCATTCAGGCATTGCGTGTGATTTGATCTCAACGAGCGCGGTCGAAATACATTGACAGATGTAGTTTTGACTAGAATCTAAGAGTTTTGTACATTTTCGATGATGTAATTTTTAAGTTTTTATGTTTTCTTTTTTCTATCGCAAGCGTGATAGTACAGGTATCTGTACAATGAGCTTTTTTTTATATAAAAAATACGAAAAACTGTGAAAAAAAATAAAGGTTCTTTATTTTAGATTGCTGCGTTTTTCTCCCCTTCTTCCTTGGTAACAGAAGTGACAATCGCTTTCATAAGTGAAAAATCAAAGTCAATCATTTTACAACTCTGGTTATAAATTGACCCGTTATAGTAATTAAAATAATGGTATTAATTAAAACACATTTAAAATATGGCGTATCAAGTCAATTTTCATTCAGCGTACAGCGATAGCCTAACAAAAATTTGTTATTAACCGATAACTTTTGAAAAAAATTACTTTTCAAGAGGTTTGTTGTAGTCGGCGTATGACGTCCCGATTTATGTTGGATAACGATTTAAAAAACGAATAAAATTCTTTTAAGAAGATAAGAGAACCGTCAAAAATTCTACTACATCCTATTAGTAGCATAAACGATAATGTGTGTGTATTTGACTTCTTGACCCACATAGGCGATTAACTTTGTGCGTAATCGTGGATAAGAGGCAAAACAGTGGTTTTTTAAATATTATATCATATATTTTGCCACAGATATTCAACGGTTCACTTTGTGTCTACACTTTTTGTTGTTTTAAAAATTGCGTTTTTGGTGTAACTCTCGTTTTGGAGGATCAGAAATGTTTCAACAAAATCTATTGGATTTATATATATATATATATATATATATATATATATATATATATATATATATATATATATATATATATATATATATATATATATATATATATATATATATATATATATATATATATATATATATATATATATATATATATATATATATATATATATATATATATATATATATATATATATATATATATATAGGCATGCGAGTTTTCGTCACATCGATCGCCACGAAGTTGTTAGTCTCCCACATTTAATCATGTTCTGCCTGCTTAATACTAGGCTTAACATTACTACATCCACAGGATCGGAGACAAATGGAGGGTGATGAAGTTAAACAGTAAATTTTAAATTTTATGTGCATCGTTTAACTTATTACAACCACTACCCTGCCAATTTAAGGGACTTCATATCTCTAATAATAAAAGAGTTGGTACACCAACTAAATATAAAAAAAAATCTAAAATGTTTGTCCAATCATAATTTTTCTTTAACTTAATAAAAATCGTGAAATTCAGTGCTGTTCCGGAAGCGTTGTATTAAAGAGATGTTAAAATCAAGTTTTTTCGATTCTCATTATTTCTATTTTTTCTCTAGAAAAGGCTTCAAACACGAAAACGTTACAAGAGTCAAGCGGCTTGTTCTAAAACGTAACAAAAATTGCAAAAAAAATCAGTGGCGTACATCTTCTTCATAATCCTATTCGTTACGATACGGGACGGCACTGGACGTCACAATTTTAATCCGGTTTAATCAAAATTAGCCCTTTATCATATTGTAAAAAATCGAAAATGTCTTAGCAACTCATTACAGCAGTTTCGGACTACATTTATATGAACCTTTTTTTATTTTTATAAAAGGTGTTTTCACTGTTACATTTCCAAAGTAATTTACCGGACTTCGTATCTCTAATGATAACAAATTTGGTACACCAACTAAATATTAAAAAAACTGCTTTTTGTAATATCTAAAATGTTGTTCGTTCAATGATAATTTTTATTTAACTAAATAAAAATTTTGAAATTCAATGCTGTTCTTTAAGGTATCTTAACCGATAGCGTTGTATCAAAGAGATGTTCAATTGAAGTTGTTTTTCAATGCTCATTATTTCTATTCTCTCTATAGAAAAGGCTTCAAAAGACGAAAACAATACAAGAGTCAAGCGACTTGCTCTAAAAAGTAACAAAAATTGCAAAAAAGTCAATAGCATAACCAATCCAATTTTAATCTGGTTAAAAAAAAATAGCACTTTGTCATATTGTAAAAAACCGTTTTTTTTTTAATGTCTTACCAACTCATCATAGCATTTTATTTTTTTTATATGAATTTTTTTATTATTTAAGGAGTGTCCGATATTTCACCGTTACATTTCCCAAGTAGAGTTTTTGAACATGATAAATTTGACTTTGTTCTTAATTTAGCTTATAGGGGGCGCGATCTATATAGGGTTAGTCAAAATCGCGCAACGGTCATATATCTCAAGAAGTATTAATTGGACTTAAATTTATGAAATTTAGTATCGGGGTAACGGGTAATTAGTCTGGTGACGTTGCTGCATTTGTGGTTTTTGCTCTAATCTGTCAAATTTTCTTATTTCAAAACGTACCCTGTTTGTATTCCATTTTTCGATTGCTCTTAAAATTCTAAGTAATTCGACCGTTTTTGCAGGAATAACAAACAATTAATGATTTAATCCATAAACTAGAGTTTAATTTATGAACGATATAATTAATGATCTTAAAGAATCGGTCACCGTAAATAACAACAAATGCTATTTAAAAACAAAGAAAAACTTTGTTTTTTTACATTTTAGTTTTGCGGTGACCCCAAAGCAAAATATCGAGACGGGATTTAAATCTGGTGAACAAGGCGGCCACTCGGAAACATTTCATTCAGGTATTCTCTTACATTGTGTATGTAATGGTCAGGGGCCCGATCTTGTTGACTATTTGATTATTTGAATATTTAGTGTCCAGGGGATGAACCAGAACTTTTTGTAATTGTTTTCAATTCCTTTTTTGCAACCATAAGGCTAGATTTCGTGATACTTTCAGTGTTATTTTGTTGCAAAATAAATATTATTGTTATTATTATTTCTGATGCTCGGATATAGCAACGCTAATTGGAGGTAACTTGCTTCCTTAAAAGGGTATAATATTTTTCAGCGGAAACCATATATTTAACTTGTGAGGATATTGGGTACGGTGTCCAACCAAGCCATTCAAATAAAAAGTTTCCTCATTCGAAAAAAGGATATAACTTGGGACCACAAAATTCCATCCGCAGATCTTGATTAAATTCTAGTTTAGTGATTAAATCATTAACTATTGTCGTTTCCGTCATTCTTGCAACAACGGTTGAATTTATGTATGACAAATTTAAATTTAAATTTAAATTTAAAATAAGAAAGTTTAACTTCATAAATTTAAGTCTAATTAATAATTCCTGAGATATATGGCCGTTGTGCTACTTTTGACTGATCCTGTATAATTTTTAAAGGCCTAGGTTTTTTTGTACTACCTTGTATTATATTTTTCGTAAAAAAAACTCAATCACTTCGTTTTCGAAACATTTTTTTTCCAATCAGGAAAAAAATTTTAACCACACCTTTCTAATATTTTTTACCTGAAGTATTCTTAAGAAATTAATTCGTGAAATATTTTATTAAATAACAAATTGGACAAAATTCTTGAAAATAAACTAATTTAATATCATAATAATAAATGTGACTAGCTATATTGTGAAAATAAAGGATTTTTTTGAATGACCAAATACACTTGCATGAACTAGAAACTTCTAAATGAAACAAAATAAATTCTTCTAATAAATTTAAATTTTAATAGAGAAATTACTGTTATAAAAAACATTGTCTTTAATTTCGGATTCTACTGGCAATTAATAGGAAAATATTCAGGATTGAATTATTAATTTCACGCGTATTTCTCAAAGCGAACCAAGAAGGCGTTCCTTTTTTGCATATAACATATTCGCTCGTCAAGAATCTTAGCTAATAATAAACGTATACGCGTTCATTGCGAAATAAGCCCGTAGCCAATATATTAGACATGCTTACTGAAACAAGGAACTGAGGTGAAAACAAACCAAATCGAGTTACTAGTTAAAACCTACCTCAATGTTCGATGCGTTGCAATCGATGCTCGATGCATTGCGCGGAAATGCAGCCGTATATCATTCTAAATTTAACACGGGAGCTCCAGTTTGACACAGTTTAAAATAAACCTTCGTTCCTATAGGAAGTTGTTTACAAAACGGTCGTTTAACGCTGATTATGCAAAATTAACGTGTCACCCTTCAGCAATCAGCTTCGACGAAAACAACGCGGCTCCCTTTTGTGGCTTATTTGATATAAGGCGCGAGAAATGTTGTGGTTGGTACCAATTACATACATAAAAGGGAGCCTCGTTTCAATCAAATAACGTAAACAACTATTTATCAACAGGAACCAGTTGCTGGTGATGGATTCCACATAATTTCATCAAAGTTATCAAACTGAGAAGGATAGAACAGGTTTTTCAAAATTCGTTTAATATGTTCAACCTTACTGAAAAACCCAACATTTCACAAAAAAATATGACATTGTACGAAAAAACGGTAGAAATGTACATTTGAAGAGTAAACGCTAAAGGGGTAATTAGGTTTCCAAAATTTCAAGCAGTCCGAACTAAATACACCAAAACCTTGGTTACGAGTTAATATCGACTTTGCTGGCCCTGTTAAAGAGGTAGAAAACATTTATAATTGTTCTACGTTATTAAAAAAAGAACCAAAGATAACTGGGAAAAATAAATAACAATGTCAAATCATTAAAATAAAAATAAAAACCTAAGGGCAGTTACAACATACAACGCAATAAATTTTAATTCATTATTTTAATCTAAATATCCAAATGACAGTCGAACTAGGCCGTCCAATAGCAGTTTAACAAGACTTTTTATTAATAACGAATTTTTGTACTATTTTTGCCCCTACTTTCACTTTACTTTTTGTACGCACTTTTACAAGTAGCCATAAAGGATCATATGTATTGTGTGTATGTTATCAACTATTACGCCATTGTCAATGTGAGTGTACTTTACTCGAACGAAGATATTATTATGTATATATTAGAAGATCGATTAAACTTTGCAAAAGTAATAGAAATTAGAAGTGAGAAATAGAATTATTCCTCGAATTATTATTAAACTTATAATTATCATAACTGCCTCTTTACCTTTGGAAAGGGAATTGCTAAAATCATATCCTGGTGAATGAATGAATGATAAAAAACGACAATAAGCAATTAAAACTTCAAGCCTGTATAAAACGTAAACAGTTAAATTGGTTATGCCGTCGAATCCATATTGCAATTCAGACGTTTCCTGTTTGATGAAAACCATCTGTTTTTTAA